GTGGTTGAGTATCAGATTGTTCCATCTCATTTCCCTTTGGGGTTGCTGTAGGTGATCTAGAAGTCTGTTTTTGAGGCTTGTTTACATGTCTTCCCATTTCCATGGTGTGTGGGGTGGGTGCTAGCACCCACATGGCTCACCTACTCTGCCCTGGGAGTGGTGGAATGGTGGCCAAGGAGCCTCCTCCTGCGTGCTGGGATTGGCTCACCTCCTCTGCCCTGGGAGCAGTGGTTGCAACTGGTTTATAGAAGAAACAGGGTCCCAGAAAATTTAATTTAACCAGGATAACATAGCTAAACATATTATAAAAGTAAAGCATAGAGCTAGATCCTCTGATATATTCACAGGGCTCTCAGTAGACCATGCTTCCTCTACCATGGTGGCAGTTAGGTTACATAAACACCCTACCAAGCAAGTTATGTGAACAAGGTGTATATTACATTATATCTGCAGAGAGGAAAAAGTTCCAGCCACCACCACAGTACAAGATGAGTGTAGAATGTGCCGTGAGTGGCTACACTGTCCAGACATAGTGTACACATGACTCATGTTGGTGAGGGAAGCACGTGGAAAAGGATTCTTCATGTATAATATGAAGAATATCTCTATGACTTCACATAATTTTATACCCCGTCAATTCATATAATTTTAGAGCTAGCCAAAAATCTTCTGCAAAATCCCTCATATTATACAGATAGATGAAATAATATCACATGTAGTTTATAACAAAGATAATATTCAGACTTATGTGTCTTAAGCACATTTGGTATAATTTTTCACAATTATATCAAAACAACAATTTAAATTATTAAATATTCTTACTTGAGAACAATGGATGGAAATAGAAACTATTTTTAACTAAATAAAAAACTGTCTTAGAAAACTTTAGAATGTAGTTTTCAGGCTTTTACTCTCCAATGATAGCTTGTAGACATATAATTGCTACTTAAATTTGAATGAGGCTAAAATTCAGCTACGTATTCACTCAAGCCACATTTCAAGAGTTCACTAGCTTCATATGGCTGGTGACTGCTGTATAGAACAGTGCAGATCATAGCTTTCCCATCCTTGCAGAAAGTACCACTGGAGATTGCTGATGTAGGGTCTAGATCAAGCCATTCTCTAGCATTGCTAGGTTTTCCCAGCAGCACTCCATAGCCCTAAGGGCAAAGTAAAAAACCATTTCATTTTTTACTGGACACATTGACTTCATGGTTTTAAACTCAGAATTAGAAAGATAAAGATGAACTCCCCCCAAAACAACAGTTAGAGTCCTTGTTCAGTAGAGTTTACTGCAAGAGAAACTTGTTGCTATCAGTGACAGTGAAAAAAGAAAAAGGAGAGTTAAGGGATAATATTTAATTATGTGGTAGTATTATAAAAAGAATCAACAAATTGGTTAAAGCTATATAAATTGAACTAGGAGAAGAGTAAATATAAAGACTACATGAAACATGGGGGATATTTATCTATTTATTTACTTAATGGTACTGGGGACCAAACCCATGGCCTTGCACATGCTATAGGTAAGCACTCTAATACTGAGCTGCTTTCCTGAGCCCAAAATATGAAGCTATATTTAAGAAAACAACAGCAGCAACAATACCAAGTGTCTGTGTTTGTGGGATGTGTATGGTTGTGTCTATGTGTCTGAGTCTCAAAGGAAAACAATAGGACATAGGACTCAGCTACAAATTTTACAGCTCCTCTATAATTTTATCTTGATTTTTATTTTAGACCAACGGGGGAGAGAAGCGACCTGCTTCTGATATGGGGAAAAAACCAAAAACTCCCAAGAAGAAGAAGAAGAAGGATCCTAATGAGCCCCAGAAGCCTGTGTCTGCCTATGCGTTATTCTTTCGTGATACTCAGGCTGCCATCAAGGGCCAAAATCCAAACGCTACCTTTGGCGAAGTCTCCAAAATTGTAGCTTCCATGTGGGATGGTTTAGGAGAAGAGCAAAAACAGGTAAGAAAGGACTCAAACTAGGGTGAGACTCGATATGACTTGATCCTGTGTATGCACTTTTAAAGAGGTGGCCTCTGATGGCTCCAGGAGAATTCTTCAGATTCCAGAAATAAGACTGGATGTGCCCCATCAGAACCAGACTTATTTAAGAAATGTTCACATAATTTTATACTCCTGTTTTACCCTTCCGTAAATAGCCAGTTCATCCCTTTGTTTCGAAGTTTACATAGCATAGTTATTTTGGAAGGACTTTTGCATATCCCAGCCAGTATTACACTATTCCTTAATGTTGCCAATGTGGTCATAAAGACTAAAAAAGAAGTCCTAAAAGTATTTTGAAAACTATCCACACTTCTCTTCATCACTTACCACTTACCCTTTTACCTTCAAAACCCTTATTGCGCTTTGCAAAATGAACCTCAAATTTAAGAGTTTCTACTCTCGGCCATTCCCTAAAGACCACCAGCATATGTCATTCAGTTTCCCATATATATTTAGGCCATACTACGAGGCTGTGTTAAATGGGACCAGATGTCTGGCTTTTCCTTTTTCTCTTGTGGAGAACCATGGTGTGACTAAGGGCCATGCTTAGGGAAGGCCCTGTGAGACATCTCAGCAATGGCCTAAGTACCTCAGAAGGTCTTACAGATCAAGAGGACTCAGGAATAGAGAATGGTGGTTCAGTGTGGAGATGCAGCCCACCCAACCGAGGAAGCAATATCGATCTCCTGCATCCAAACTGAAGGGCTAGATGGCTGTTGTCACCATGTGGACTCTTACTGGCACAAATAAATCATTAAATAACTGTGAATATTAAAATAAGTCACTGGAATATCTATGTAGATACAGCTTTTGCTATTGCAAAATACTAAATTTCATTAATGATATATTAGTCTCATGTTTGCTTCTTGGTAGAGACTTTATCTGTTTTTATAATGTCCAAAAACGTTTGTAGAAAACAGAAAACTTCAACCCTCTGATGCATCTAGAAGAATCTGTATATTGCAGTAATATATCACCCAGTTTGATATATGTGGGGTTTTATCCTTTCTTTTGCATTACTGGGGGTTGAACCCAGAGTTTTCACACTGAGCTACATCTTCAGCCCTTTTTAATTTTTATTTTTGAGACAAGAGTCACTAAGCTGCCCAGGTGACGCGCAAACTTGTGATCCTCTTATCTCAGCCTCCCAGGGTGCTGGGACTACAGACATGGACCGCCACACCTAGGCTTTATAGTTGTAAAAGTATTTTTGCATTATTTATCTCATTTTTCTATTCAATACTCACAGATATACAAACAATTGTTATCCAAGTAGTACATGTTATGAAACGGAACCAAGTAAATTAAATTCATTCATTTGTTTACTCAACAAATACTTCTTGACCACTTATTTGCCAGGCACGGTATTAAGTACTGTATATATGGTGAAGAACAAGCCCATCATGCTGAATGATTTGTCTAAGATCACATTACTGGTAATAGAATCACATAACTAAAACTCATCATGTAACTTACAATTCTTTTCTTTTCAAATTTTATGAATTGATGATCGTTGTGATAAAATAGTTGCTATGGAAATATAGAACCTGCCTATCCAGTTCCCCATGGGCCCCCTTTTCTGTAAGTCAAATATGTCTTCTATAACTGGAAATCTCTATACATTTTCTTACATCCTTTCAAGATTGCCAGCCTAAAGGAATTCTTCCTGCATTAGTCGGCTTTCTGTCACTGTGAAAATATATGTGAGACTAGCATCTCAAAGGAGAAAAAAAATTATTATTTCTCAGAGTTTCAGAGGTTTCGGTTCTTGATCACTTGGCTCTGTTGCTTGTAGGCCAGTGGCAAGGCAGAAACATCATGGCAAAAGGGGATGGTAAAATAAGACTGCTCATCTCATGGCATCCAGGAAGCAGGGAGAGAGGGAAAGACCTACAGAGGAAAAGTTTGGGGATAAGTTAGACCCTTCAGAGGCTTGTCCTGTTCCTCCAACAAGGTCCCACTTCCTAAAAGCCCATTCATCTAATGAACTCACTGATGGATTAAACCACTTGATGAAGCTACAACCCTCATGATTCAATCATTTCCAGTGGCCCGTCAGCTGAAAACCAAGCCTTCAACAGTGAGCCCTATAACACTTCCATAGGACAGCAGAAGCCTACTCTATCAGGCCCTGTGTTGTGAGAGTTGTTTTCAAGGATGAAAACACCATCCTAACATTTTCTTTATGCTCTCCATTAAAATATCCATTTCGCCATTGATAGGGCAGTTGACATTTTGTTATGGGATCCTAACTGAAATCTAATAAAGCTGCTTCAGGACTTTAGAGCTGTTCTGTCCTTAGATCTGTTTTCTGTCGTCACTCTCCCCAATCAGAGGTGTGGTTCCCATTAATGCTGGACAGTTGGGGTAGAATTGGGCAGTCTTGTTTCGGTAGCTCATTCCTGAGTGAGAAATTAAGTGCACGTCAACCAGTAAGCCCAACCTTGTTCCTGTTCTCTGGTTCATGTTACCTTGATGCCCCTCTATCATGTTCAAGATGTCACACATGAGAACATAATTCATTGTGCCCCAGTAATCCATCTATGTGTTCCCAGATATGCACTGAGATTCAATACCCTAAGCTTCTTCCCCTTTTGAAATATAATTTCCTGGGTGAAGCTTGCAGAAAATGACTCCTCTCCCTAGAGATTACTCATACCAGCTCTTGTTCATCAAAGGCATATGTGACTCCCCTCTGAAGATTCAGCCCATCTCCTTTGCCTAAGACCTGGCAGCTGAACTGGGAATGTTGTTCCAAGGCTCCTCTGTGCCACATTAGCTTCTATTTACCAAAAGTTTTATTTTGAGAAATATCAGTAGCCTGTACTAACACACTCGCCTTACTTCTCTATCAATCTCCCTGCCCCCAGTTTTCCTAATTATTTCTTGCATTCAAGGCCAGTGGTTTTAAAAGAGGGAAGTCTGCAAAGGCCTTCCCTAACTCAGGATAGGTCCTTCACATCTCTTATTTATGGTGCAGAAGAATAATGTTCATAAAAATCAAGTAGTTCCTCAAATCAGTAAATATTCCTATTATCATCAGGCTTTTTATTTTAATATAGAACAGAGAAATACTAATACTCCAATCTACATCCTTTTTGTCTGACCATAAAGGTGTTTACAGACAATATGAGATTCAATCTTTTCAACTGTGATACTAAAAGAAGAAATTACCCCCATTATCCCATTCTGGTGTTAAAAATTGAGACTGAGCCTTCTTAATGCAATTGTGATGTAATATTTGAGACTTTTTAATTGCATATATAGGAAAACAAAATATTTTCCTTTTTCTCTTTTGCATTTTATTTCTAATTGAATAAACAACTCATGGTGAGCCTACTTTTGGGTCCTCCATGGAAATAGTTGAAGTATTTTGAAGAGAATTCATTTTATAAATGAAGGATGAAATTATATAATAGTTGACCTGTACAAGGCACTAGGTATATTGTAAAGCAATCTCATAATTAAAATCCAGTTGCTAAAAGTTGTACTAAGATTATTCAGAAAAATATCTTCTGTTTCTTATGAACCTAAGTATTTTAAAATTTGAGTACTTGTTTAAGAGTTATCAAAACAAGGTATTGGGAACAATTTGGGTCACTCCAAGCTGGTTTGTCCCCATGCCTGATGCTCCTTTGACTTAACAGAGATTTGGAGTAGTCTATTTTTTCTCAAAACAAATGATTTTGCTTAATACAGAGTGTAAGACTGCAGATTATGTTAAAAGATTGGTATACCAGCCAGGGATTTAGCTCAATGGTTCTGCCGCCTGCCTCATAAGCACAAGGTCCCGAGTTTGATCTCCGGTACCAAATAAATAAATAAATAAAATAAACAAAGATTGGTATACCACACACACACACACAGAGGATGCAGTCCCACCCCAGGAACACACAAAGGGAGAGTCCAGGGTAATCAGACTACTTATCAAAGGAAGCCTGTTGCTGGGATGGGCCACCACACTGCTATGATGTGGCAGACTGTCCCTAACTGTTTGCAAGAGTTGCCAGCAAAGCAAACATCCCTGCCTCAAATGCACATTTGGACATCCAGAAGATTTCAGCAAAAGAGCCCAAATTGTTATTATGCTGAATTACCACCCATTCTCTCTCTGTGTTGACTCATTGTGCCAACACACTATAATATCTGTTTGAAACTTAAATTAATTGTACTTGATTCTCATTTAATATTCAAATTGGGGAGCACACATACTGCTGTGTATTTTTAAAGGAATATTCTGGAACAGATTAGAGGCTGACTTTCAAACTTCTAAATTTTGGACAAACACAAGTTTTACAGAGCAAAGCTATGTGATTCTTTTGGCATCGTGGAGGGAGCTGGTTCTGGTGAAAGCACGAGATTTCATGTGCCACAGTTGTTTGAAAATTCAGTTGTCATAATAGCCCACAATTATGAGCAGCTACAAATATAAACACAAACTAGGAAAAATGGACAAAATTATTGATGACTTTTGGGGGGCTCAGAAAATTACAATATTTAAGGAAAAACAGCTATTAGTGAAATTAGAATGTTTTCTTCATGGCCAAGGGGAACAGCACTAAGAGAACTGCTGTGTGTTTGTATCACACGTTCTCATTGTGGAGTACAGGCAGGAATAAGAAGCCGCTGCAGAGGGTAGGTCTTTATTTTTCAGAATCCATGGTGAGTGAAAAACTGTATGTACTTGGGTTTCCACAAGGAACCTTTCAAAGAAGAGAAATCAAAAGAAAGCTGAAAGACGCGATAGAAATCCTCTAGGAACACAAAACCTCCCTTGTGAATCATTCCTACCAAAGCCACTGAACAAACGCCACATATCAGAGATCTCTCCATTTTAATACTTTGGAAGATGGTGCTGAATCTGGAATGGAAAGAAAATTGTGTTTGGGATTCCAACTGGGGATTTTAAATGCTAATGACTAGTAAGACAATGAAGAGCCCATTTGAGAAGCATACTA